TATATTTCGATTCATAACTAAATACAGACCGGGTCTGAAGTTAAAATGAGATATAGACCCGGACCCGATAAAAGCTAAATTTTGAGACCCGGACCCGGGTCTGGAACGACCCGCAGCTCTCTAATTGCAATACATCCTACCTTCATTTCTTCAGCATAAGTAGGCCATAGAATATCCTTGAAAGCTACCCGGACGTGGCCTTTCTGACAGCTTGCTAAATGTATTTTGATAATAGCAGATTGATGCCGATTGGTCATATTTATAAGGATTCAGCAGATGATTCACGTCGATCTCGAGTATTGCATTATATCCGATCTTCATTTGTTCAGCATAAGTAGACCATAGAATATGCTGTAAAACTGCCCGAACATTGCCCTGCTGAATGCTAGGTAGATGCATTTTGGTAATACTACTTTGATTCGAATAGATTATTTCTATGGGAATTGCGAAGCTGATTCACTTCAGTCTCCAGTATTGTAATATGTCCTGCCGCCATATACTCAGCATAATTGAGCATAATTATGTTTTCTAAAATAGTCTCAAGAGTGGCTTAGGAATGATTCTTCAGTATCCTATATTATGATGGCTCACAAATAACTGCACGATCGAATATGTATTTTATGGATATCACTTATCTTGGTGTCATGCAAGTACTGATTTTCCCGGGTTGAAAGGGCTTGAAAGAAATTTTTCAGTTCGGTTAGCTTGCGTTTGAATAAATGTGAACAATTGGTGCAAATGTTGATGTGCATCTTCAATATAAGCTAGTGGACCGATAAAAATACGCGTATGAAGATTCTGATACGGGTGAGGATGAATATTGCTATTCATCGTAGCCTACAAAATATTTGTTAAAACAAGAATTCAATGAAGCAGCTCAAGTATAATTCGACTACTGGTCTTCTCCTCTATCCAGATCACATAGATATAGTATCCTGTCATTCATTTCATCTAAATACTGGCACTGAACATATCTTTCGAATATTTCCGGAAATGAGACCTAAAAAAATACAGGATAGAGGTCAGATGAATGCCGATAGCCGGCATCGAAGTGAATCATGGGCTTAATCCTTATAGATATGATTTATCGGGATCAGTATGGTATTAGCAAAATTCATTTGGCAAGGTTTCAAGAGGGCCGTGTTCTGCTAGTTTCCAATGACATTCTATGGCCTACTTATGCTAAAAATTTTAAAGTGCGACGTATTGCAATTTTTGAGATCGAAGTGAATCACCCTGGAAGTCCTTATTGAAATCACGTCTCGGGAGAAGTGCGGTATTACAAAATCCATTTCGGAAGATTTCATAAAGGCCATGTTCGGGTAGTTTTCAAGGGTATTCTATCGCCCACTTATGCTGAAAAGATGAGGGTGGAATGTATTGCAATACTCGAGATCGTAGTGAATCACCTTGGGTGTCCCTATGGAAATTACCTATTGGGAGAGGTATGGAATTGCCGAAATCCATTTGGTAAGATTTCAGAAAGGCCATGTTCGGGTAGTTTTCAAGGGTATTTTATGACCTACTTAGGCTGAAAAAATGAAGGTGGAATGTATCTCAATAATCGAGATCGAAGTGAATCATGGGCTTAATCCTTATAGATATGACCTATCGGGATCAGTATGGTATTAGCAAAATCCATTTGGCAAGCTTTCAAGAAGACCATCTTCGGGTAGTTTTCAAGGGTATTTTATCGCCCATTTATGCTGAAAAAATGAAGGTGGGATATATTGCAATAATGGAGATCGAAGTGAATCACCTTGGGAGTCTCTCTCTATGGAAATTACCTATTGGAAGAAGTATGGTATTGCCGAAATCCATTTGAGAAGCTTTCAGAAAGACCAGGTTGGGGTGGTTTTCAAGGATATTCTATAGCCCACTTATGCTGAAAAAATGAAGGTGGGATGTGTTGCAATAATTGAAATCGAAGTGAATCATGTGCTTCATCTTTATAGTTATGGCCTATCGGGATCAGTATGGTATTAGCAAAATCCATTTGATAAGCTTTCAGAAAGGCTATGTTCGGGTAGTTTTCAATGACATTCTATGGCCTACTTATGCTGAAAAAATGAAGGCGGGATGTGTTGCAATAGTCGAGATCAAAGTGAATCACCCTGGGAGTCGCTATGGAAATCACCTATTTGGAGAAGTGTGGTATTGCCGAAATCCATTTGGCAAGCTTTCAAGAAGACCATGTTCGAATAGTTTTCAAGGATATTCTATGGCCTAGTTATACTGAAAAAATGAAGGTGAGATGTATTGCAATATTCGAGATCGAGGTGAATCACTCTGGAAGTCTCTATGAAAATCATCTGTTGGGAGAAGTGTGGTATTATCGAAATCCATTTGACAAGCTTTCAGAAAGGCTATGCTCGAGTAGTTTTCAAGGATATTCTATGGCCTAGTTATACTGAAAAAATGAAGGTGGGATGTATTGCAATATTCGAGATCGAGGGGAATCATCTGTTGAATTCTTTTAAATATGACCTATCAGGATAAATGTGCTAATACCAAAATCCATTTTGCAAGCTTTTGAAAAGGGCATGTTCAGGTAGTTTCGAAGGGTATTCTATGGCCTACCTATGCTGAAAAAACGGTGGCGAAGTCTTTTGAAATAATAGAGGTCGAAGTTATACAAGTCTGGCTTGGGCTGCTTATATACCTTCTATGATATACACGGTAAAATCAATACGGAAATCACTATTATTAGCAAAACTATAGTCTATATATATAGTGGACTTTATTACCTTCGTAATCATATATAATTAGTGGGTGTTTTGTTAGCATTTTCGAATAGGGCCGATTTTTCTAGGAAATCCACACCCATCCTTTTTCATTTGTAGTAATATCAGTGGGTTTCACTATTTTGATCAATTCTGTCAATTTTTGAGGCATTATAACTGCCGTTGACATAGAGCCTGACAGAGCGCAAAAATTCTCTACAAAATTATGTGCTTTGAGACTATCATATACGTGAAACTAAGACAAGTCTGATGATTCTTTCGGTACCTACGAGAAAAACGGCTCATTCTTAGCTTGAAATCCTTTTTTTTTGTTGGACATTATGCGACTTTCCAAAAGAATTAATTAAACTTGCCTTAAGTTCATGTGTTTGATAGTCTCAAAGCGCATCATTTTTTGGAGAATTTTGTGCTATATCAGGGTGTTCGTGTGAGTGTGGGTATGGGTGTGGATGTGGGTGTTGGTGTTGGTGTGGGTGTCGGTGTCGGTGTGGGTGCGTGTGTGTGGATGGGTGTGGGTGTGGGGGTGTAGTGAGTCTTTCCTTCGCCTAT